TCACAATTAAAAGAACCAAAGACTTAAACTACTTCAGTCTGTGTGCATTGAATTTATTTAATACACGAGTTTCACAATTTGAGTTGAATTACTGAAATAAATGAACTTTTCCACGACATTCTAATTTATTGAGATGCACCTGTAAGTACACTACCAGTCAAAAGCTTTTGGACAGCAAGATTTTTAAAGGTGCCATAGAATGCATTGATACAATATTTTAAATTGTTCTCTGATGTCCCCGGAGTGTGTATGTGAAGTTTTATCTCAAAATACCCCACAGATAATTTTTTTATAGCTTGTTGAAATTGCCACTTTTAGGGTATGAGCCAAAACGCGCTGTTTTTTGTGTTTGTCCCCTTTAAATGAAAATGAGCTGGTGCTCCCGCCTCCCTTTTCAGAAGAGTGCAGAGCTTTAAGCGCTCATGCTCGCCAGCATACCGGTTTTACGGTTTAACTGGTGGTGACCGTGTTACTGATCCTCACATTGCTTCCAAATGCAATTTTTAACTACCACATTCCTATTTACGATCATTCTGGTAGCACATAAGGCAGCATTAGAGAAAATAGGTGGAGACAATGGTAGCTTTAGCAACATTAGCCTTACAGAGAGCCAAGAAGCTCTTTTGGAAAACAAAATATGAGGCGTGATGCTTACTGTGTCTGGAGTCTGGACGTTTGTGCACAAAGCGTTGGTATCGATCCCTCTTTCATAAGAAATCTTTGCACAACTCCAGCGCTGAACTGACCCTCTTTTGTGAGGCAGTCTGGCGTAAAATGTTAGCACAAACGTATAGGACTTTTCCGTTTTTTTCCGGGACATTTACTTCGAAAATAAAATTTAACCACCATGTCCTCAGCGGTCTATGGAGACTCCTATGTTCGTTGGTGCATCCAAACACACTACACTTTTAATGGCTCTTTGTCGCTGACATTGTACCTCCAGCAGCTACAGCAAGAAAACAGTAACGGCGGACCGCTGCTTCTCACTCCAGTGTTGCCAACTACTACAGAAAGTAGCTAAAGCCAGTTTGAAAAGTCGCTAAATGTCACCAGATGACGTCATACACTAATTAGCATATTCATGACGTCAGCGCGTCTGTTGCCTTTTACATTTGTTTGTCTCTCTGTGCTCACATACTGTATTTTAATGCAGCCAAATTCTCAATAAAACTGTTTTCATTTATATATATTACTGTTTCTGTTGTCAGACAACAGAATAAATATGAAATAGTGACTGAAATGCGGCCCTTTAAGACTACATAACCAGCTCTCCCTTCCAAGATGTTAATCTGCACAAAAATCCTGCTTTATATTTGAGCCATCGTCTGATGAAATGAAACGCACATAAGAAAAGACAAGAAAAAGACAATTCCTGTGCTGTGATTTCGGCTATATTTGCATGTAAAATTAGAGAAGCAACATAATATCTATTTTAACTGAAGGCGCTGCTCCTCTCAGCCACTCGCTGTGCAGAGCAGACGCAGAGAGAGAGGTTTGTCCAATAAGTCACTAGATTTGACGCTAGTCGCTTATTTGGAAAGAAAGTCGATGGGGGGTCTGAAAAGTCGCTAAATTTAGCAACAAAGTCACTAAATTGGCAACACTGGCTGTGTGTATATGCTAATAGGGCAGAGAGCGTCACAAATGGGCGGGACTTTCCCCGAGTATGAGGTCATAGTAGTGAGAAATCTGGAACTGCTCGTGTGGAGAGACTGTTTATGATTTATTGGGATTATAAAACAATGAGTGGGTGGATTTTTACCATTA